ATGTCTGATGGCGAACAGAATGTCAGAATTAGCATAAACAAAGACTTACCTAGTCCTACTGCGCATAGAACTCATGGGGTCATTTTAGTAAGCACAAAAGAAATCATTAAAAAATAATCGTAAAAAGTGATTATTTTAGTGAAAAGTGAAAGGGTGAAACTTCAATTAAAGGGGAAAATAAAAGCAAAGTGGGCATTATTAGCTAAACAGAAAACTCACTACCAAGGGGATCACTCTTACAAGACAGGAAATTCCCGCATCAAACAAAACTCAGAATTTGAAAAAACCAAAAATTCGGAATTTAAAATTGGGTGAAATACACCCTTCAAAGAGGGGTGTAAAAAAAGTTTTATTTCAAAGGGAGAGTAAAGGGATGTAAAATATTGTCTATGATTAATGATTTTGCTAAAATTCTAAAAAAAGAAAAATTGTTTAAAAGTGATTTTCTGACTTTTCATTAGCTGTTTATTGTCTTTACAGGTTTATACAGTGCCACCCTTAAAATTTTAGGGGATTTTAAAAGGGGCCGTTTGGGAAAAAAGGGACGTTTTATGGGAACGCCCCCGGGGGGGGCGGGCGGTTCCCGGGCGGCGTCCAAAATTTTTTCCCCGGGGCCCTATCCCCCTACATTTTTTTGGAAGGGGTTTTAATTTAAAAATTTCAAAAAAAATTTTTCACCACTTTTGAGGAGCAGATGTCGCGCACATGAACCCGGTCTCTAGGGCCCAAAAGGGCAAGGTCACACCCTTTGAGCTCAAATTTAAAAAAGCTTGTCCCGGAAACAAAAAATTCCCCAGGGGATAGAAGGGGGTTTCAATTTTTACTTGGGAAAAAAATGTTTTAAACCCTTGTGAAAGGGGGGATGTCGCGGGGCAAGATTCAGGTCCTTGCGGGGGAAGGTTTAAGGGGCACACATAGAGGTTTAAAGTTCAGATTAAAAAAATGAAAAATGGGGTATTAATGGGGCCTTTTAAATCATCATTATACCCCCACAAACGAAGTTTAGGGGGGTATATAGGAGTCAGCTTGTCGGTTGGTCGGTCGGTCGGTCCGTCGGTCGGTCCACATCATGGTTTCCAGACGATAACTAGAGTTTGGAGTGAGGTATTGTAATCAAACTTGGTATATATAGCAAACCTTATGTGGAAACCCCGGTTGGTATTGCATTTGGACCCCCTGGGGCCAAGGTCAAGGTCACCGTTACTAAAAATAGAAAAATGGTTTCCGGACAATAACTAAAGTTAGGAATGAGATATTGTAATCAAACTTGGTATATAGCAAGCTGATATGAAGACCCTGATTGGTATTGCATCTGGACCCCCTGGGGCCAAGGTCAAGGTCACCGATACTAAAAATAGAAAAATGGTTTCCGGACAATAACTAAAGTTAGGAATGAGATATTGTAATCAAACTTGGTATATAGAAAGCTTATATGAAGACCCCGGTTGGTATTGCATCTGGACCCCCTGGGGCCAAGGTCAAGGTCACCGTTACTAAAAATAGAAAAATAGTTTCCGGACAATAACTAAAGTTAGGAATGAGATATTGTAATCAAACTTGGTATATAGAAAGCTTATATGAAAACCCTGGTTGGTATTGCATCTGGACCCCCTGGGGCCAAGGTCAAGGTCACCGTTACTAAAAATAGAACAATTGTTTCTGGACAATAACTAAAGTTAGGAATGAAATATTGTAATCAAACTTGGTGTATATCAAGCTCATATGAAGACACGGTTGGTATTGCATCTGGACCCCCTGGGGCCAAGGTCAAGGTCACCGATACTAAAAATAGAAAAATGGTTTCCGGACAATAACTAAAGTTAGGAATGAGATATTGTAATCAAACTTGGTATATAGCAAGCTTATATGAAGACCCCGGTTGGTATTGCATCTGGACCCCCTGGGGCCAAGGTCAAGGTCACAGTTACTGAAAATAAAAAATGGTTTTCGGACAATAACTAAAGTTAGGAATGAGATATTGTAATCATGAAGACCCCGGTTGGTATTGCATCTGGACCCCCCTTGGGCCAAGGTCAAGGTCACCGTTACTAAAAATAGAAAAATGGTTTCCGGACAATAACTAAAGTTAGGAATGAGATATTGTAATCAAACTTGGTGTTTAGCAAGCTTACATGAAGACCGCGCTTGGTATTGCATTTGGACTCCCTGGGTTCAAGGTCACAGTTACTAAAAATAGAAAAAGGGTTTCCAGACAATTACTAGGGTTAGGAATGAGATATTGTTATCAAACTTGGTGTATAGCAAGCTTATATCAAGATCAAGATAGTTGGGATTGCAATAAATTGAAATTTTATTTACTGTAGGTTTATTTCAAATTTTTCTTCAGACAACTTATTTTTCAAAAGTCAAAGTTGCTGGTGGGGGTATTAATCACCTTCAGTGATAGGTCTAGTTTATTGAGGGATTGTAACACAAATGGTCATTATCAAGACTATGGCTGTGATACATATAATTTAGGTCAATATATACAAGGTCAAGGTCACTAAAGATGATGAAATATCCAGATTTTGTCCGGAGCATATCTCCTACATGTATGGAGGGATTTTAATGAAACTTCATAGAAATGTTCACCACTATGAGGAGCAGTGTCGCGCACATGAACCAGGTCTCTAGGTCAAAGGTCAAGGTCACACTTAGAGCTCATTGAAAAATGCTTGTCCGGAGTAAAACTTCCACATGTATAGAGGGATTTCAATATTACTTGGCACAAATGTTCACCATTGTGAGGCGGAGTGTCGCGCGCAAGATTCAGGTCCTTGCGGCCAAGGTCAAGGTCACACATAGAGGTCAAAGTTCAGATAAAAATATGGTGATGTGTATATGGACCATTTAGTCATCATTTATTGAGGGATTGTAACACAAATGGTCATTATCAAGACTATGGCTGTGATACATATAATTTAGGTCAATATATACAAGGTCAAGGTCACTAAAGATGATGAAATAACCAGATTTTGTCCGGAGCATATCTCCTACACGCATGGAGGGATTTTAATGAAATTTCATAGAAATGTTCACCATTATGAGAAGCCATGTCACGCACATGAACTAGGTCTCTAGGTCAAAGGTCAAGGTCACACTTAGAGCTCATTGAAAAATGCTTGTCCGGAGCAAAACTTCCACATGCATAGAGGGATTTCAATATAACTTGGCACAAATGTTCACCATTGTGAGGCGGAGTGTCGCGCACAAAATTCAGGTCCCTGCAGCCAAGGTCAAGGCCACACATAGAGGTCAAAGTTTAGATAAAAATATGAAGATGTGTATAGGGACGATTTAATCATCATTTATTGAGGGATTGTAACACAAATGGTCATTATCATGACTACGGCTATGACACATGTACTTTAGGTCAATATATGCAAGGTCAAGGTCACTAAAGATGGTGAAATATCCAGATTTTGTCTGGAGCATATCTCCTACATGTATGGAAGAATTTTTATAAAACTTTATGGAAATGTTCACCACCATGATATGTATTGCTCCATGCATGATCCAGGTCTCCAGGTCAAAGGTCAAGGTCACACTTAGAGCTCATTGAAAAACGCTTGTCCGGAGCAAAACTTCTACATTCATAGGGGGATTTCAATATATCTTGGCACAAATGTTCACCATTGTGAGGCTGAGTGTTGCACGCAAAATTCAGATCCCTGCGACCAAAGTCAAGGTTACACATAGAGGTCAAATTCAGATAAAAATTTGAAGATGTGTATAGGGACCATTTAGTCATCATTTATTGATGGATTGTAGCACAAATGGTAACTATCATGACTACAGGTGTGACACATTTAATTTAGGTTAATATTTGCAAGGTCAAGGTCACTGGAGATGATTAAATATCCAGATGTTGTCCGGAGCATATTTTCTACATGCATGGAGGAATTTTAATGTTACTTTATAGAATTGTTCACCACCATGAGACGTAGTGCCCTGCACATGAACCAAGTCTCTAGGTCAAAGGTGAAGGTCACAGAGCTCATAGCAAAACGCTTGTCTGGAGCAAAACTTCTACATGCATAGAGGGATTTCAATATAATTTGGCACAAATGTTCATCATTGTGAGGCTGAGTGCCGTGCATTATTCAGGTCCCTGCGATCAAGGTCAAGGTCACACATCCTGTGCATATCTTCCCTACTGATTTGTTTTTTAAGTTCATTTAACAACACAGTGCCAAGGATAAAAACTTGCTTGCTAGATAACACTTATCCATAATGCCCCCATCTCCATCTAAAGCTTTCGTAAACGGGCGTATTTTGTGACTATGGCACCCTTGTTGTACTTGGTTTGCGAATTGATTATACCTCATGAGGGCTTAGCCCATGCATGGCCATTCAGAAATCCCTAGGTACATACAAAAATGGAAGTATTAATAAATGGTTTATCACAAAAGTTTGCATAATACTTCTATGAAAAGAAAACAAATGGTAATAGCGATTTTATATCATTTTGTAGATTCCACACATTTCCAAATTACATGCCAAAATTTATTTATTTAATAATACATGTATGGGTTCACAAATAACAGATATTTAAAATTGTGCAGCTTAGAGGTAGCAGTGCAAGTCACAAGGTAATTTTTACCATGTCATTTCAATGACAATTTGATCCCTTGAAATTCTCACTCAACATGCAGGCTTTATTACCATTGTCATATCATTCTTGTTGACTTCTGTTCACATTCCAAAAATGTCTGTCAATATTCTGAGTGTAGAGATTTTACTTACACCTATTCTGTCTGATATGCCCATCAGTCCCATTCTAGTAAATCTTTAACTGAAAATGCTTCTATGACTTAGTGTTTGTCTCTCTGCTCACAAATCACCTGTAAATCTTCTTTCCACTTTTGAGGTGTAAAATATTTCGATAGTAAAAATTTAATACAAAATTGATGTTTTCTCAAAAATGATAAAACATGTGCTATATTTTTCTTGATGGAACTTTTATGCAAACTTTTGAGACAACCTTTGTATATAATTGAGATTTACAAGTAAGATAGAAAAAGGATAGGGTATGAATATGAAAATTTACTTGTTTAAAATGTGTATAATTTTCAGACAATGGTTCAATGGTTTTCTGATTTTAATGATGAGCAGAAGAATCTGGTCCTAAAAGAACTATTAGTAAGTATTTGATAAGTACTACTTAAATCATAATTATTAGCTCACCTTGCACAAAGTGCAGGTGAGCTTTTAGGATGGCCAACCAAATGGCGTCCGTCGTCCGTCCACATTTTAAATATTCTAAGGACATCTTCTATGATACCGCAAGGCCAATGTTAATGAAACTTGGCAGGAATACTCTTTGTATGAAGCTCTATCAAGATTGTTCAAAGAATTCCATTTCATACAGAACTCTGGTTGCCATGGCAACCGAAAGAAAAATCTTTAAATATCTTCTTTTAAAGAACCGTAAGAGCTAGAGCTTAGATATTTGGCATGAAACATCTTCTAATGACTGTCTACCAAGTTTGTTCAAATAAAAGCCCTAGGGTCAAAATTGGCCCCGCCCCAGGGGGTCATTGATTTTCCCTATATGCATATAGTAAAAACTTAAAAAATCTTCTTTTAAAGAACCCAAAGAGCTAGAGCTAAGATATTTGGCATGAAACATCTTCTAGTGAGTGTCTACCAAGTTTGTTCAAATAAAAGCCCTGGGGTCAAAATTGGCCCCGGTCCGGGGGGTCATTGATTTTCCCTATATGCATATAGTAAAAACTTAAAAAATCTTCTTTTAAAGAACTGTAAAAGCTAGAGCTTAGATATTTGGCATGAAACATCTTCTAGTGAATGTCTACCAAGTTTGTTCAAATAAAAACCCTGGGGTCAAAATTGGCCCCGCCCCAGGGGGTCATTGATTTTCCCTATATGCATATAGTAAAAACTTAAAAAATCTTCTTTTAAAGAACCCAAAGAGCTAGAGCTAAGATATTTGGCATGAAATATCTTCTAGTGAGTGTCTACCAAGTTTGTTCAAATAAAAGCCCTGGGGTCAAAATTGGCCCCACCCCAGGGGGTCATTGATTTTCCCTATATGCATATAGTAAAAACTTAAAAAATCTTCTTTTAAAGAACCGTAAGAGCTAGAGCTAAGATATTTGGCATGAAACATCTTCTAGTGAATGTCTACCAAGTTTGTTCAAATAAAAGCCCTGGGGTCAAAATTGGCCCCGTCCCAGGGGGTCATAGATTTTCCCTATATGCATATAGTAAAAACTTAAAAAATCTTCTTTTAAAGAACCCAAAGAGCTAGAGCTAAGATATTTAGCATGAAACATCTTCTAATGAGTGTCTATCAAGTTTGTTCAAATAAAAGCCCTGGGGTCAAAATTGGCCCCGCCCCAGGTGTGTCACTGTTTTTAACTAAATGTGTAAAGAAATAACTTGACCAGCTAGACCTTAGATGTTTAGCATGAAACATCTTCTAATGGGTGTCTACCAAGTTTGTTCAAATAAAAGCCCTGGGGTTTAAACTGGCCCCACTTCAGGGGCCTATATACAGGTGAGCGACTTCAGGGCCATCATGGCCCTCTTGTTTTATATTTATGCCCCTTTTTCGACTTAGACATTTTTGGTTAAGTTTTTGTGTTTAAGCTGGTATCTCTATAACTACTGAGGGGTTTATGCTTTTTTTGTGACAATTTTATGCATTCGTTATAATCAAGCGGTGATTTACTTGATAAAACATCTTAATAACAAGCCTTTGTACCTTTTCGGGACAATTTTATGTATTCTTATAGGTAAGTATTATTATATACTCAATGAAACACCCTTGTGACAACTTTTCAAATTGTTGAGTGTTGCTGTCCTTGGACTGCTCTTGTTATCATTTGTTGTTGTTTAAAGCTTTATATATACAAATTATTTCTACTTTAAGCATATCTAAATATCTACATTAGACATATTGTGGCAACATATAAAACATGTTCTGGACAAGTGTAATGAATGGATTCTTTTTCCATTTTAAAGATTATTTTTTATTTATTTTAACAAATTTTGCATTCAGGTGTATATTGCACCGCCTATACTGTGATCTTTAAATTTGTTCAGTTGAATTCCAGATAATTTTGTTTGTATCATAACATAGTTCATCATACTATAAGATAACCAGACAAGTAATTTCAAAATTATTGTCAACCCTCTGATCTAAAAACCTGCAATTTCACTTTGTCCTCATACAATTAATGCTAAATTTGTGCAAAAATTATTTTATAGATTGGTTGTGAGCTTCCTCAGTTGCATTTATTATCAGTGAAGATGGAGGCGAATTTACATCATGGTTGTCCACCTAATTGTCAAGATCTAATCACATGGTTGCCAACAAATCAGGCCACTCGTATACTTTCCTACATGGATCCAGGTACTCATTCATTCTTTATCTTCAAAACTGAAAATGTTAATGCAGTAAAAACTCACTTAACCAGTCATGGTCGACACTGGAAAAAAAAGTCCTGGATTAGCGAGGATTCCACTTTACTGATGATTTATGGAATGGATGTTCTTAATTGACTTAGTTAATAAAGACTGGGGAGAGGGTAAATAAAAAAATTGTACTTGAATCCATACTTTTATTAGTTGATATAAATGTTTAATTCATGGCGATTGTAAAAAAGTGAAGTTAAAGATAATAATGACATTTATTTTAAAAAGTCAAGAATGACTTATGATTTGTATACAATTGAAATTAGATAGCCTCTCAAATCCTATTTAATAAAAGGTGTCTTAAAAAAGAAAATCGCCGAAAACTAAAATGTAATTGCTTTCAATTGCATTATCTTTTGCAACAAACAAATTATTCTTTCTGTTCAAGAATGTAATTGTCATGCAGTCTTAATTCCAGTAACTCAAATTAGCGTAATCTGTAATCAAATGATTTTGCTGTCTTAAATCAAGCAAACCCCTTTCATTTTTCATAGGTGCAATTTATCATGGAGGCCTTACATTAAAAAGAAGTTTTGTTCTGTTTTGTGTACTTCAATGTATTTTTCCTTGCGATCTATTACAATAAAACAATGTTTTAACAAATATTTTGTGTCTTTTAAATAACCGATAACAATAACAAGTGTTTATTTTGTTAATTATTTCAGTAAGTTTATGTCATGCTGCTCAGGTGTGTAAAGTCTGGTACCAGTTGTCTGATGAACCATCACTATGGAGACGTTTCTGTTGTCAACCAAAATGGCGGCTTTGCAAAGCTGCTGAACATAAGCAAGTGATAAGTCATATGTCACATGGAAGTATACAGGTATTTTATTATTCCATTACATGAACATAAGTTTACATACGTGACATAACTAGCTTAATCTGACATTTTAAATTAGAATTTGATATTTGTTATGCATTAAGCACTTGTCCAAAGCATATCTTCTTCTTGTATGGAGGAATTTAATTCAATGAGAGATTGTGTTGCATGCATGAACTACGTCACTTGGTCAAAGGTCATGGTCAAGGGAATAATGCTAGTTTGAAGCAAAACTTCTGCAAGCAATAAGGAACTTTTTATATAACTTTGCATAGATATAAACAACTGTGAAGCTGTAGAAAATTGAAGTCCTTGCTGCCCATGTCAAGATTAAAGGTCAGATAAAAATATGAAGGTCACCATGATGAAATGTCCAGATTTTGTACCAAGCATATTTTCTACTTACATCTATGAATTTTAGTATAATCAGCTTTTGATTTGATTGCTGAATGTGATAATATCTTGTCTGAGTCACAAGTCAGTTTACATGTTTCTGACCTACCTGCACACCTCACAGTTTACCCAGACTATATATTATTAAAGGGATACTCAGGCAAATTTATGACAAAAATATCAAAATTATCTGATGTACTCAAATCACGCTAAAATGACATTTGTAAAAGTCCAAGCATGAACTTCTGTATAAATTCTATATATTTTGGGTTTGAAGCATAAATATATCTATATGTGTTGAACGAAATTTAGACGCCAACAGAATCACTGAGTAGTTTTAAAACTAGTCATGTGACTTGAACAAACCCTGAAAGTTACAATAAGTATATAATTGATTGAAACAAGTCTGAGTCATTCACTTGTCATGTTCTTTAACGTTTCAAGAGTTCACTTTGACAACTATTGTGAAATCTTAACACTCTAACCTTACCCGCATGGGTCAAGTTAGGAAACCACCATTTTATTCTTTTTAAGGAAAAAAGTTTTGTTCCTGTGACTGCCTAGTGTATTCATTTTGAGGACATTTACAGATTAATGAATGAAAAATTCAAAACAAAGAAATGAAAATTTTGCCTGTGTCTATCTTTAAACTGAACTTTGTTATGCACTACATGTATACTGTTGTCTCGTACATATTCTTATAATAGTTTTAATGAATGTGTTGTTTATAGTGGAAGAAAGTTTTTGCAGAGCGATTCAGACTACGTAACAACTGGTTAAAGGGTAGGTGTACAGTTCGAACATTTGAAGGTCATTCACAGGGTATCTCATGTGTACAGTTCGATGATACTAGGATAGTCAGTGGCTCATCAGATAAAACTATCAAGGTAATCTAATGTCTTATCATGCTAATATAAAACATTTAATAATTGTAAGTTATTATCCAAGACCCATAAATTTGGTATTGAATTTGAATAATCCCTTGAAGCTTAGCAGTGGGGGATTAAAGGATTTGCCTCTGTCTGTCTGTCCATCCATAACATTTTAATTGATCACAACAACCAAGTCCCTACTACTAAGGTCAGGAGCATTTTTAGGCCAAATATAAAAATTCCACATTTTGTGTCCACATCTAAAACTTCTAAACTATTTTTTTTACTGACCTGACACAAATTATCACCACCATGACATGATGTGATGAACCAGCTCACAACCCTCAAGGTCATGGTCATTCTTAACAGTTAAATGTAAAGAAACATGCTTTTTTTGTCTGCTATATCACTTTTAAACTGGTGATTATTTAAAAAATGTTTAATTCCTTGGCAATCACCAGTATGAGAAGTTATAGTAATGCCCTTGTTATATTCCTTTGTTCATCCATCTGAATGATTTCATGTCTGTTAAAAATCTTTCTGAACTTCTGAAAAGCAGGGATTGTGTAATTGTAATCAGTAATCGTAAGTGATGGTAATCAAATACATTTTGTCAAGTAATCGACAGGATATCAGTAATTGAAATCATTTTAAATTACATGTAATCATTATTTAATTAATTACCACCATCTTTATAGATTCAGCATTGTTTCAATATTAAGTGCTTAGACTAGACCAATTACACTTTCCCTGTGTAAAGTATGTGTTTCTGGATATTTTAACATTGTTTCATTTTCACAAACAATAACCACATTGGTCAGATTTACTTTATTACAGAATTAAAGAAATCCATGTAAATTCATGTTCAAGAAGTTTCACAGTAGGAGGGAAAAGGGGATTTAATCAGTTATATAAATATATCCAAATGTGAAAGGTCATTTGTTCTTCCCATGTGCCTGCTCATGTATGAAATCATTCGTGGGGGCTCCTTTGTTTATGCTTTTCAGTCAAGTTGGAAATTATATCGTCTTGGTGACTTAAACCCCAAAAAAATGTTTTAATAACATGTAAATGGTTTTCAAGACAAAGCTATAAATATGTTTGTAAAAATAAAGAAGTTATTTTTCAAGGTATGGAATATTCGTACAAATGCCCAGTGGTCAGTTCAGACTCTTGTTGGTCATTCAGGAACAGTGAGATGTTTACACCTTGAAGGCAACAGGCTGGTCAGCGGCTCAACAGATTGTATGATAAAGGTAAGTTTTAGCTCAACAAATTTTATTCAAACTTGACAGGAAGGATTGTCATTATGTCTACTAGTACTTATCATAAAGAATTTGATCTTAACTGATTATATGACCTGAACCTTCAAAATTAACTCTTTAAAGTGGCTATAACTTTTTAAATAATGGACGTTTTTTATTTATATGTGCACATAACAACCCTTCTGACAATAGTAGGTCAGACAAATTTGTAGTTAATTTATTCATTTTTTCTTAAATAGTCATAGATTTGTTATTATGGATGTATTCAATTCATATATGACAAAATAACATCTTGAACAACTAAAGTTTGAGCTTCATTGTCAACTTATTAAATTTTGGGGAAATTGGCCATAACTTTTAAATGAACTTGACCTTGACCTTTATTTGACCATGACATTTAAGGTCAAATTAGTGAATTGTCATTTTGTTACAAATTTTATTCATTATTGGACAAATGAATACTTTTGCCAAAACTGACATGATGAGAACTTGATCTTTAAATGACTTTGACGGTCAATGTCAAGTTATTAATTTTTGCTTAAATAATCAGAACTTTATAATTTATTATTGGATTGAAGGCAAACTTTGGCATGACAAAACCTACATGATGAATAATTTAGATATGGCCTTGACTTTTGAATAACCTTTATATGTCATATTGTTTGTTATATACTTACAGATTAGATTCATACTTGGAGTAGTCTCAGTATTTGATCAAATTTATACACATTAAATTTTATGCAAGAAAACTGGTAATAAGTCTTGTTACTGGGTTAAATAAAGCTTACCATTTAATGACCAGTCAGGTCAAACATTAATGCTTAATTGCCATATCAATATCAGTTTATGTTATACTGGCCATGGTTCAAAAACATAAAGTTCTACGCAAGGAATAACAAAAGCATGCAATTTAGACTGAACTTTATTCTCCAATATGGTGGTGTGCAGCTTTAAATGGGAGCACTGTTAAATGTTTGAATTATGACTTAAATATATAGTTAACATATTATACAGGCAGGTCGGTGTTACTCTTTACTGTTGGAAGTAATTCTGATAGTAGATCAATCTAGAAACTTGCAAATCTAATAATTAACATTTATTGATAATTTTAAAGTAAATTTATGACAAAAATTTATTGAGCTAAATGCTAAAAATAACTATAATATATTTTATATGTTTTAAAGGTATGGGATCTGTCAACACAAGAGAGTTGGTCAAGCATTGCTTGTAAAGTCACCATGACTGGACATTCGGACACTGTAAGGTGCTTACAGGTAATCTGTTTTAAATTTTGGAGATTATTAGTAATATTTCCTGCTAATGTAGTGACAATATTTCAATTATATCCCCACTACACATAGTTTGTGTGGGGGATATATAGGAATCACTTTGTCCCAGGTGTTCTGTCCCTATTGTTTTTAGCTCAACATTTTTTTTTTGAAGGAAAAAAAGTTATTGTCATAGTCATGTTGGCATTGCGATCCCTGTTCCCTGGCACGTTGCTGTCCACAGACCTTAACATTGATTACAACTTTTTTTATTTCTCGGTGTATTGTCTTCATACAAGGCCACAGCAACCCTTGAGACAAGATCTTTAAGTACACCAGACCAAGCCTGTATGTTGGATAATTGACAGTGAATGTCAGATTATTAAAATTTGCTTAAATTGTCATAACTTTGTAATTTATTTACAGATTTGATTCATACAAAAAACACACAGGACAAAACCCACATGTTGAATTATTCTGATATGATATTGATCGTCACAATAAAACTATTGAAATTTGCTTAAATTGTAATGACTTTGTTATTTTTTTACAGATTTGATTTATACTTGAACAAATGAACACTTATGACAGAACCAACATGTTGAATTATTCTGATATGAAAATGTCCTTTATTTGACCTTGACCTCTAAAGTCAAATTTTGTTATTTCTGTACAGGTTTGATTGATACTTGGATAAAAGTACACAAAACCAACATGTTGAATTATTTAAATACCTTTAAATTACTAACCATTCAGGTCAAATTATTGCAACTTGCTTTAATTTTCATAACTTAGTTAATTACTGATGGATTTGATTCATAATTGGACAAAAGAACACTAGTAAGAAAACTTTACAGTTCTGTGTTCACAATACAATAAGATGGTCTATTTCTTTTTCAGGTTGATGATATGAAAGTTATAAGTGGTTCATATGACAAAACATTAAAGATTTGGGACCTTCCTACGGGTAGATGTAAAATGACTCTAAGGTCAGTTTTTGAGCTATGCCATGAGAAATGTGCCTTCACATATGCTTTAAATTGATTGACTTTACAACTTGAATTTAATGACCAGCATTTTGGTTTCATTAAAATTTAGTGTGTTAAATATACATTGTACTATGATCTACGTATAGTTATAATACAGTGAGCTCCACTTTTAACAATGATAATAGGCATTGTGTGACAAACAGGTATATAGGAGTATGCTTGTTGGTCGGTCAGTCCCTTTCATGGTTTCCAGATGATAACTAGAGTTTGAAATGAGTTATTGGAATCAAACTTGGTATATAGCAACTTTATTTGGAAAACTAGGTTGATGTTGCTGTGGACCGCCTTGGGTCAAGGTTACAAAAAATGCTTAAATCATTATAGCACAAAATGGCTGTTTGCAAGCTAAATATAGAAACAACATCTCCATTAAATGATGATTTTCTGATGAAACTCAGCCGGAATGGCCTATCATGAACTCTTATTCATATAAACCATATCGTAAAGTTAGCAATTAAGGACTGTTATATCCCTGTTGTTTTGTTTTGTAGGGGTCACCAGGCAGCTGTATTATGTGTTCATTTTAATGATACAAAGGTTGTGTCAGGATCCTGTGATAAAACTATCAAGGTAAGTCTTTAAGTCCTGGCGAAGTTGTAGCATTCTAATCTAAAGGTTAAAGTAAGAGTATATAGAGAATCTTACATGAGTGATTTTTGAGTGTGAGCCTTACTGGTCACAGATAAAAAAGTGAAAATGTGTGTAAGGAAAATTTGGACGTCTTGATTTGAGAAACTATATCAAAACTGAGAGACTCAACAGAGTATTGTAAACATAACCCAGGTCAATATATGCAAGGTCTCATTCAGCACAGAAGCTTATATATGAATATTTTGTCCTGACTGTATCTTATGCATGCACTGAGGGATCTGAGTATTCCGTGACACAAATATACACCATCATGAGACGTAGTGGTGCACACAAGCCAGTTTTATATGTAATTGATCAAGATCACACTTTAATGTCTTAGAAAAACACTTGTCTATAGTTAAACTTCTACTTGGCACAAATGGTGCAAAATCCAGGTCGTTAGCCAAGGTCACATGCAGAGGTCAAAGGTCAGATAATAAATTGATAATGTTAGTATTGATCATGTAGTCATCATGAGTCAGTGGATTTTAATGTAAATACTAAGAGACAGAGCATTTGTGACAGCATATTTTGTGACCATTAAGCCCTTTTGTTCTTAAATATCTTTTGTCCTTATCAGATATTAACTTGAAATATGAAGGGACACAAGAGTGCACTGTTGCTTTTATAACCCCTTCATTGCATTTAAATATACCCTACTCATCTGTGTGCTGGTGTCTGCATTAGCATAACACTTTGGTTAAAGTTTTACATGCAACTTTTTGTACAACATATTATCTGATCAGTCACTGAAGATATTTACTTACTAATTTGAGGACACTATCTGTTGCCCATAACTCTTGCATGAGTTTGACTTAATTATGGCCATTCATGGATGTAGAATATTCATGGCTAAAGTTTTGGGTGCAACATCAGTTCTCAAAATAACTGAAGGTTTTCACTTGAACTTAATACATGCCTTCATGATCATAATTTGGGGTTACTATCCAAGGCTTATAACTCAAACATGGATTTTGACAGAATTATCGCTGTTTGTTAACTTACAAAAGTCAATCTTCAAAACTACTGAAGGTATTTACTTGAAACTGCATACCTGTCTTCAATGTCAGAATATGAGGTCAGTATCAAGGGCTCTTGACATGGATATAAACAGATTTTCACATAAAATTCATTATTAAAGTAAATGTTCAAAACAACAGAAGGATATTGAATGACATTCAGCCCATTGTGAACATAAAAGTCTTTGGTCAATATTCAAGACTTCTAACTATGTCATGTAGTTTCTTGAAATTATCATACACTTATTGTTATAAATGTCCCCACCCTTGTTGACACCGTATCATAATAATAATTCATATAAAACATGTTCTGGACAAGTGTGATGAAGGGGTCTCTTCTTATATTTAAAGATTACTTAAGCAAATTTGCATTAAGGCATATAATGTCCCGTCTTTGTGGTGCTGTTGTTGTAGGTTTCCTCGCTTAATAATGCTCTGAGGTACATCATTCTAATAAGCTTTAATCAAGGGATTTGTTTTCATTTGGCATGGGATATCAGTTTTACAAATTAGCTTGTTGAATTTATTTTCATGACTGGAGGTATCAACTTGAAACTCTATAGCATACCACAATGAGGATAAGAGCAATGCTCAGGAACCATGTCATTCTTATTCATTTGAAATTTGTCTTCTGGTTCAAAGTTGTATGTCAGTGGCCAAAATCGATATATGTTTACTGTTTTATTCACTTTTGTGATAATTCTTTTAAGTGTTTTGCTGTGTAATTTTATAAGCATTAAGTATAATAGAGTGCTATTGAAACTTGTATTACAGGTGTGGAATTACCATGGTGCTTGTATAATGACATTAAGTGGTCATCAAGATGCCGTCACATGTCTTCAATTTGATGCCACAAGGATCATCAGTGGTTCACTTGATTGTAACCTTAAGTTCTGGGATATACATTCTGGAGAATGTATCAACACTATAGACTGGAAGGCTGCTGAAGGACATACTGGTGTTGTAAGGTGCTTGCAGGCTGACAGCTGGCGCCTTGTTAGTGCTGCTGATGATAAAACCATAAAGGTTTGTTCATGTTAGATTATAATAAATGTAAGCCATTGATGAAAGATATTGTATCCAATGCATGAGATCTAGAATGGCATGATTTGATATTTTAAGCCTTTATGTTATCAATGGCATATTGATTTTATTGTATAATTATGAAGTGTAGCTTAACCAAAGTAAATATATGGAAACCATTACCTGCAGAGAAAAAAAGGTGTAACCTCTCTGAATACTTGTGGTACAAATACTTTTCTGAATACTTGTGGTACAAAAACTGAGTCTATAGTATTCTAAGATGATGTTCAAAGGGAGGCATATAGTTTTTATATGCCCTAAACTTTGGGAGGTATTATGGTATGGGGTTGTTCATCTGTTCATCTTTCTTGTATACAATTGGTTTCCGCAGGATAACTTTTGAAAGATTTCAATGATTGTGTTTTTAGCTCACCTGTCACAAAGTGACAGGGTGAGCTTTTGTGATCGCTTTTCGTCCGGCGTCCGTCCGTCGTCCGTCGTCTGTCCGTCGTCCGTCGTCCGTAAACTTTTACTTTAAATGACATCTCCTCATAAACCACTAGGCCAATTTCATCCAAACTTCACAGGAATGTTCCTTTGGTGGTCACCTTTAAAAATTGTTCAAAGAATTTAATTCCATGCAGAACTCTGGTTGCCATGGCAACCGAAAGAAAAAACTTTAAATATCTTCTTTTAAAAAACCCTAAAAGCTAGAGCTTAGATATTTGGCATGAAACATCTTCTAGTGAGTGTCTACCAAGTTTGTTCAAATAAAAGCCCTGGGGTCAAAATTGGCCCCGCCCCAGGGGGTCATTGATTTTCCCTATATGCATATAGTAAAAACTTAAAAAATCTTCTTTTAAAAAACCCAAACAGCTACAGCTAAGATATTTAGCATGAAACATGTTCTAATGAGTGTCTACCAAGTTTGTTCAAATAAAAGCCCTGGGGTCAAAATTGGCCCCGCCCCAGGGGGTCATTGATTTTCCCTTTATGCATATAGTAAAAACTTAAAAAATCTTCTTTTAAAGAACTCAAAGAGCTAGAGCTAAGATATTTAGCATCAAACATGTTCTAATAGGTGTCTACCAAGTTTGTTCAAATAAAAGCCCTGGGGTCAAAATTGGCCCCGCCCCGGGGGTCATTGATTTTCCTTATATGTGTATAGCAAAAACTTAAAAAATCTTCTTTTAAAAAACCCAAACAGCTACAGCTAAGATATTTAGTATGAAACATGTTCTAATGATTGTCTACCAAGTTTGTTCAAATAAAAGCCCTGGGGTCAAAATTGGCCCCGCCCCAGGGGGTCATTGATTTTCCCTTTATGCATATAGTAAAAACTTAAAAAATCTTCTTTTAAAGAACTCAAAGAGCTAGAGCTAAGATATTTAGCATCAAACATGTTCTAATAGGTGTCTACCAAGTTTGTTCAAATAAAAGCCCTGGGGTCAAAATTGGCCCCGCCCCGGGGGTCATTGATTTTCCTTATATGTGTATAGCAAAAACTTAAAAAATCTTCTTTGAAAAAACCCAAATAGCTAGAGTTAAGATATTAAGCATGAAACATCTTCTAGTGAGTGTCTACAAAGTTTGTTCAAATAAAAGCCCTGGGGTCAAAATTGGCCCCGCCCCGGGGGTCTTGATTTTCCTTATATTTGTATAGCAAAAACTTAAAAATCTTTTTTGAAATAACCCAAATAGCTAGAGTTTAGATATTAAGCATGAAACATCTTCTAGTAAGTGTCTACAAAGTTTGTTCAAATAAAAGCCCTGGGGTCAAAACTGGCCCTGCCCCAGGGGTGTCATTGTTTTTAACTATATGTGAATAGTAAAAACTTAAAAAAAATCTTCTTTTAAAAAGCCCAATGAGCTAGAGCTTAGATAATTAGCATGAAACATCTTCTTATGGGTGTCTACCAAGTTTGTTCAAATAAAAGCCTTGGGGTCAAAATTGGCCCCGCCCCAGGGGGTCATTGATTTTCCCTATATGCACATAGTAAAAACTTAAAAAATCTTCTTTTAAAGAACTCAAAGAGCTAAAGCTAAGATATTTAGCATCAAACATGTTCTAATAGGTGTCTACCAAGTTTGTTCAAATAAAAGCCCTGGGGTCAAAATTGGCCCCGCCCCAGGGGGTCATTGATTTTCCTTATATGTATATAGCAGAAACTTAAAAAATCTTCTTTGAAAAAACCCAAATAGCTAGAGTTTAGATATTAAGCATGACACATCTTCTAGTGAGTGTCTACAAAGTTTGTTCAAATAAAAGCCCTGGGGTCAAAATTGGCCCCGCTCCGGGGGTCATTGATTTTCCTTATATGTGTATAGCAAAAACTTAAAATCTTCTTTGAATAAACCCAAATAGCTAGAGTTTAGATATTAAGCATGACACATCTTCTAGTAAGTGTCAACAAAGTTTGTTCAAATAAAAGTCCTGGGGTCAAAACTGGCCCCACCCCAGGGGTGTCATTGTTTTATACTATATGTGTATAGTAAAAACTTTAAAAAATCTTCTTTTAAAAAGCCCAATGAGCTAGAGCTTAGATGTTTAGCATGAAACGCATGAAACATCTTCTTATGGGTGTGGGGGGGGGGCTATATACCTATATACAGGTGAGCGACCTCAGGGCCATCATGGCCCTCTTGTTACTTGTTATATAAGTATTTATTTGATACCAAAACACTGGTAAAGTTCAATTTTCACAGCAATTAACTCATTATTGATAAATTTATGTCCTGATTAAGCCAATTTTCTTTGAAAATTATTTGTTTCCACAGGATAGCTTTTGAAGGGTTACAATGATTGTGTTTATATTTTGGCATGTATGTTACATCAAAATACAGATTAATGTTGAGTTTTGCTCCAATCAACTTCTTTTTTGAAAGAGATAAGGCCCCTTTAAAGCATTTTTTTTTGTAAAATTATTGGTTTCTGCAGTATGACTTCCGAAGGATTTACCACAAAAGTATATTTTTGTTCGCAAAACCACCTTTGGAATTTGCCATAGGAAGTAACATGGAAATTAAAAGCATTTACAAAAAGTACAACAAGCACTTTTATTCACATGATAATATACTTGTTTCATGTATAGACTTTATTCCTAAAAAATAAGTAAACATGTGTGTTATTCTCTAATTAGCAAAGCATTGCACTGACAGTGTCTAACCAAAGTCTTAAGAGTTTCACTGCTATTTAAAAAACACAACATAAGCTACATTTGATAGCCTTAAAAACTCTATTTTATCTCATTTTTACTGGTATTAAATCAATCAGAATTGATAAAATTTATGATAATAGGTTATGATTAGGATGTTTTGAAAAGACAACTTTGTCATTTTGTTTAAATGGTCTGAATACGAATGAAAATCAAAACAAAATTGATTTAACATGTAACTGTGGGGACATTAATGGTGTTGGCATCTATGTGGTATGAACACATTTTTTATTTGTATTAAAAATAAATATATTATATATTGATACAGGTTTGGAATCTAGAGACTGGTAAACGTCTGGTTACATTGAGGAATCACACAGATGGCGTTACCTGTCTACAGTTCAATGATTTCATCATAGTTTCTGGTTCATATGACAAAACTGTCAAACTCTGGGATTTTAGCTCTTGTTAAAGAGATGTGCTGTGATTGCTTACAGATTGCATATACTGTTCGTAACTCTAGGATCTCGCTGACAAAATATGTCAATTATGAATATTTAGCGCAAGTTTATTTGTTGGAGAATTTTTGCAATTTGGTACAAAAATGTGTCATTTAATGGTTGGTGCAATTTTGTTTGAACAGTTTAGGTGAAAAGTTGTAGTTTTTTCAAATTTATTATTAACTGTAGAATCAAACACAAACTCTATATTTTCTGTTGGTTTTTGTGCCCCCCGCCATATAGTAATTGAACCGTCTGTCCATACCTTTGTCTGTCCACACTACCCAGTAGGATTGTAAACAGAATGAAAGATTCATTAATAACAAAAGGTATGGTCCCTTATTCCATTGCAGGACATGTCTGTCTGTCATTTTTCCATACAATAAATTTTTATACTTGCAGGTACAGCCTTTATTTATTGACAGATGTCTATTATAAATCAAACATTTTGGTAGGAACATAATTTGAGAGGTCTTCTATCTTTGGAAGGAGTTAAGTGTCATTGGGTTAAGGTCACCTATGCTAAAAATAGGTTTTTCTACTTCTGCTTATACAGTCTTTATTTATTGACTGCTGTCTTTCATATTTGGTAGGAAGATAATTGGGTGGTCTTCTTTCTTTGAATTGAGTTACATTTTTACACTTTTATTATGCAGCTTTTTTACCAACATCTTTCATATTTGTAAGGAACATACCTTGGATAGTCCTTCAAGTTAGGGTGGAGTTAAGGGTCACTGGTTCAAGGTCAATGTCTTGCATTTGTTTATACTTGATTAACTTTTATTGATAAATTGAATATTTTTCAACTTCATCCAATTACGTGCTACATTAACTACATTTTTCACAATAACAAAAGGTCATGACTCTTGACTGTCAAGTTATATATACATATATAACTCTGTTTACATTTTTATAGCATTTTTTTTCCATCTATAACTGAATGAATAGGTGAACCTTTTTGGAAAATTTGTTACTGACAGAAGTCTAGGCTGTGGGTATTTGTGTTTAGATTTTTATGTATTTATTGTTTTTTATTTTTATGTTTATTTGTGTATGTTAAAGTGCTTATATTTTCATTTCAGAAATGTTCATTACCTACACATAGATTTTTAAATCATCTATTAATTTTCATTACCATAATAGTGAAATAATGATTGGTTTTACCTATAAATAAAGCCCCCTATTTTTAAACTCTCTGCTGATAATGTAACATGTAACCTGCATTTACTGAAACAAATTTAGCAGAAAACTAATTACATGTATTTATAAGTTAAAATGAAAAGAACTTATTTTATATTAATATATTTTATCACATGGGTATTAAATTTTTTAACTATTTATTTTAGTTGTGCAGATGTATGGAGAGTTTATTATGTAAATGAGATGGGCTTTTTCTTATTTTTAAAACAAATATTTATTAAATTGTTAGAAATGTTGTGCTACTAAAAAAATGGGGGTAAAATGAATTGAATAATTTTTATATACTGGCAGATGTTGTTGTGATTAGGGTTGTGTTTTGAGAATTATTTATAAGAGATAATGGTTGTGAGATTAGGTAGTGATATATATTAAGTTAATACGAGAAAAGTTTTAACAAGAGGATATTGATATGTTTAATATAGATACTGAATGCCCAGCTGTTTTACAGTTACTATTGCCTATATTATTTTTGTAGAATAACTGAAGTTGGCACTTGAGTTAGCTGATGCTGTAATCCTTTAAATTATTTATAGAAATTCTAAAATCAGTTAACACAAGTCCATTACCCACATTTTGCTGGAACATTGTTCACTATCAGTTTACAGAAATATAAGAAAGAAAATGTTTCTTGTTATATATTTTGAAACAAAAAATTGATTTAAAATACAAATATACAAGATGTCAAGAAACATAAAGTAAAAATTCACAGTATAAGAAAATTGTATGTTTTTATTTTAATATACTTTTTTTCGATGTTGGTGGTCTTTAAATTTTTCACCAAAACTTGCCACACATTTTCCTACAAATATTTATTTTTAAGATCACAACTTTGAGAATTTGCACTTTCGTTTATTATGTCAAGGTTTCATTTAACAGATATATATATATATATATACTGATGTCCAAAAAAAGTTCTTGGCGTTTTAGGTTTTGAAAAAAAAATTTGCCTGCTATCAGAAAAATGTAATGGATTGGTTCACTAATTTCATATATGTACGGGTATTGCTTTTGCATTTAAGATGTGCATATATTTATGATAATTTACAATAATACCTGACTTCTTGTTTATTTATAATTTCAATAATTTTGTTTTTGTATTCTCTGTGTTGTGACAATTTTGCTTAATTCTCTAGGATTGTACTTGTTTTACATTAGATATATTGACTATATTTAATAAAAGTTTGAAGTTCAGTAAGCTTCATTCAAGTCTGAAAGAGAGAAGCTTTTCTTAGAGTTAATTCCTTTAGTACACCAGAGCACAATGTGCCCAAGGTAAACCATCGGATTACTTACTGTCTGTTATCTTTTTGTTGTCAAAGGACATACAAGGCAGCTTTTTGTGTCACCTCTACAGTGTAGTGGCGACATACAGGGATCACTTCTCCAACGTCTGTCCGTCACAAAACTTGTCCAGACTACTCCTCAAAAACAACTGGTGCAGTTTTATCCAAACTAAACAGGTATACCAAGTCTAGTTGTACATATCATCAGCATTTTTACAAATGCAATCTTTTTTAGTTTATACAAATTTATTTTAGTTTTATTGTGTTGGAAGCTATAAGCATGTTTGTTCTTGTTACCTACTTATGCAGCAGACTGGAACCATTTATATAACTTTTGTAGTGAACCATCTAACTATCACTCCTGTGACGTTTGGTCAAAATCATTCAAGTGGTTTAGGACAGGCCTCTACATTAGCGGTGGTCAGTTGGTCCGAGACCACCTGATTTCGGCAAGGACCGCCTAATTTTGCAAGCAACTGGTCTGTCAGACCACTTGAATTTTCTGAATGGTGCAAAGGTCATCTGGAACAATGGCGATATACTGTACATAAACTGGTCCTTTGAAACACAGAGTAATGTAAAGAAAATATGGCTGCCAGTGGTAAGAAGACTTGTTTAGTTTAACGTATGAGGACAGATGGCTCATTTAATTTATACTGGCCCAAATCTTAGAGTGATAGAGCATAAATTTCTAATTTTAGTATCTACTTGAGCATAGCACTGAAAAAAAAGTTCAATGGGTTTTACATTAGTATGAACTATTTTTTATTGTCAATGTAAAGCATTGATTATATCAATAACTAGAATAGCAAGGACTCATCAATGAAAATATTTCAAGTTATTTCAAAATCCCTTGATGCATGACAGAAATACGGGCCAGACAATATTTACCAATTGCTAACCTTTGACCACTATATGCTTGTTTTGAAACTGTTAGAACTGCTGGCCTTTAGCACTACAAATTATCTATTCTAAAAATAAAAGTATTCTCACTTTGATATATACTCAAGATAAGGATTTTAACCATGGTCATAGCTTTCGCAGAAGCGGTGGGTCCATCGCAGCAGCGGTGGAGTATTAGTTGTAGAAGCCGTGAATAAAATATGGCCGTTTGCTGTTCTCGGTAATTTTACGACTGAATTTTACTGTTAATGTTTTACTGGCAAACCCTAGTCACATATGTCTTACTTTGACATCAAAGAAACGTGTTTATTTGGTATTTGAAGTAATACAAATTTCATTGGTAGAATATTCTACGTTTAGCCTGGGACTTAATTAAAAAGACCTTAGTTCCAGGTTCAACAACAAACATATAAAAGAGATACTCGTGAAGATTAACAAAACATACTTCTTGAATATGGAGAACAATCTCAGTTTTAAATGTCACTGTGTTATATTATCATACTGAGGAACACCAATTTATAAGTGTATTATAGTTTGGGGACCTTTCTGGCAGAGTTAAATCGTAAACATGCACTGGCGTGCAGGTTTAGTTACCCGCACTCCAGAGCATGCCCGTATATTGGCTCCTTTTTTCTGGGGTTTACGACACCCTAATTAAGGTTTAAGAAATACATTAAAATTTCAAATAATATACAAATAAAATGAATTCAAACACTATTATAACACTTTACGAGCCAAACATGATTATGAAAGAATATTATTTTAAAAACACGATCAGTTCATCTCTTGAATAAGTAAAAATGTGCATGACTTGTGTAGATACATTTTTTGTATGTCTTACACACATAATTTGATTATAGAGAAAAAGGTTAATTATTAATCTTTGAAGCGGGGATTTCCAATTACATTGCGTCAGCAGTGCACATTTATGTACCACGGACAGGCTGTATAGCGGAAACATTTCCTGTTTTTTTAGATTAGATCTTAGTTTAAATCATAGGTCTTCTCTGAATACATAATCGGTAGAGTCCATACTCACCATTGATTATATCTCTAATGGCCCAAAGCCAAACAAGTCTTGTCACTTTACTAAGGGAGCCGGTGTAGCGTGTAGCCTACCGGTTTTAAAATAACCAATACCGGCAAATGTTTCTTTTCTAGGTAAATAGTCTCCTAAAAGTGTTTTTCTTCCATACATAATGATCTAAGACTTGTAATCTTTACTTTATAACAGATAAGCGGGAAACATGTACTGTTACAGTCAGCACGCACTGGTTAGATTCAAACTAGTTGGTGCATTTCCACTAAGCTTCTAAAGCTTAACAGTCAGGATGCCAAATATCATTGCTGTTTTTATCTTCTTTGATATTACACCACTTTGAACCATAGAAACAGTGTTGATCAACTTGGATGGCGAACATCTGCAATATTTCTTTTCATTAGCTTCACTTGACATGTGTACACAATTAGGCATAAATATGTAATTTAAACTGTAAAACACTAATATACCTATTGCTGAAGTTCATTTAAACCAAATACATTGTATACCTGTTTTTCAGAATAAACAACATCACGAAACATTACCATTACATGTTACTAATGAAATGTATTTTTCTACATGAAAATTTATAAGCGGCATCTAATACCTCAAATTTCCTCAATAACAAACATCGTTAACGGAGTAACATTTATATACTCTAATTAATACTTATATTCGTCCACAGCCAAATACAATATACGTACATGGAATGCCATATTTGGTTAGTTTGATTTAAGTTAGTTCTAAATTCGACATGTGTCGAAATAACGAACTTCCTTTTAAATTTGGTTCCTAAGTTCGACACTCACGCCTTGGCTGGAAATTTAACTCTAAGACAAGCTGTTGATGGTCCAGTTTGAACAACAACTTCAATAAGTGTGTTTAAAAGGTTAACAATACTGTAGCATAACTTGACAAAAAATAAATAGTAGTTTTACTGTTACATAGGTCGACCTCTTACATGTTTCCCTAAGAAGCGACTTTTTTATGTTCTAATTTTTGAGCCACAATTTTGTACTAACCAATGTCAGCGAAATCGGTGCCTATGTGGTCTGATTTTTTTTCATGACGTCATCAAATGAATGATGAACGTAAATATCGATCAAAATATCAGCTAAAACGCATAATTCTGGGATTTCATGATGTTTGTAAAAAAAAGGCGATTCGTGCTGACAACCTACTTTCACTTTTACAGTTAACTGTTTGATGATGTAAAATATGACGTCATTGTTTCAGTTTGTGCATGTGCACATGTTCTGCGGGCTGATAACTTGTTCTCGGCCCCGGGCCGCAAACTCATAATAGGTCACGTGACACTCATAATCAGTTGAAATCATAGGCAATTTTGTTACTATATATAGTAACAAGTGTATTAAAACTTTATAAACGTCACGATTATCCAATGAAAAATGACGTTACAAACGTGCAGTATTATAAAGTTTTATATATAAAAACTGAACATTCATGATTGATCTACAAATGATACAACAGATTAATGATAAATGTGGCACTGCAATCGACAGTGGAAATGTAAATAAACATTTGTATGCACACCTCATTATAGTCTTAAGAATGAGTTAATAACAGACTAACCGATGTGGAAGTTACTTCTTATGAAAATCAAAGTTGAAAAATTACACAAATTACTTTTTTCGTAATTTTAATGTTGGTTCCAATCAAGTGAATGGACGAAATTTGTGCGTTTTTTTTGTTTATTTATCATATTTTAAACATGTCACTTAAATTTGTAACCGAGATAAGAACGCGTTTCGCGTGCTTAGATCTATTTTTGACCCTGCTCTGTCCTGTTCAAATTATCAGATTAGTGGATAGCAATAAAAATTTCACTAAGCTTTTATCTATTACCTGAAAGTAATTCTACAGAGAGTGTAAATTATGATAATGTTAAACGATGTATATATTTGACATCCAAAGGAAAATAGAGTCTGTTTCGATACAATTATGTTTGAAAATATGTTTGACAACCATTTTTAATTTAAATATGCCCACTGATGTACAATAATAAACAAATCCGACTCAATGTCAACGGGTTGCCACTTTGTATATTCTGTTTTTACAACTATAATAATAAATATATAATAATGTATTGTTGCTTTAGTATCTTTTAGGTGGACTTTTACTTTATATATTGGAAATAAACTTGTCTACAACATTAAATTACTATTCGTTTACATGTTTAGTTTCTTAGCGTAGGTTAGACCAAAACACCGTATCCGTACTATTGTGTCCGAAGACTGACGGAAAGGGCCGAAAAGTTGCGACCCCAACATATTTATTTTAACAAAAGAACACTTAGATAAATGTATTGTTGTTTTCTATAATGAAAAGGTCAGAGTTGACCGAGGTTCGGCGAAAAAAGCCGGACAATTTTCCCGCTTCACACATTACAGGTCACGTGATCATTTGAGCACAGAAAAGACCAGTTTAGGAGGGAACGTCGCACGGAGAAGAGGGCAAATGGCGTTCTCTGTTGATTTTGCAGGTGTGTTAATATTTTACAACTTTATTGTGATTTTTCAGGTATGTACAGTACTGAAAGAAGAAGAAAAAGAAGAAGAGCCTGTTTAGAAGGGAGAGTCGCATGGCGAAGATGGAAGAAATGGCGAAGATGGAAGAAGATGAAATGGCGTGCGGGTGTGTTGATATTTTACAACTTTATTGTGTCATTTTATTTTTTTATTAGCCTATCCTATGCCTTTGTTATATGCCTGTTTATTTTTATTTTGATGATTTGTATACATAATTGCTCCTGATAATTAAGACACCTATCCGTTTTATTACCCTGCGCCCACATGACTTGCTAAAATCGTGTTGTTGACTTCGCGCGAGATAACTTACTTCGGCGTTTTTTGTTTATTTTTTTGTTATTTGACAAACACTCCCTGCGCATTCTGATTATTAATACATTAGGTATTAAAAGGTATAACAAAAAAAGCTGGTCTCTCAGCCGCAAGTTGGCTTGGGGTCCATACTCTCAACATAAAAACATGTATAAAAAGGT